GGAATGGGTCTGTCTTTTTTTGTAGTAAGTGTGTGGGTTTTACACCTCACCAGACACGTCCAATCCATTGTATAATAGTAAAACAGATTTAATAAAATTTGATTTGATTTTGATTTGATCCAATGCCGTTCGTGGTATTAGCCAGTGGAGTAGTTGTGTTCTGACAGGCGTCAGTCCATTGAACCTACTATGTAGGTATATCCGAGATGGGCTTGAACTTTTGGAGTTCATTTCTTTAGATTTGTTTACTGCCTCTCTTCAAGCATAGCCCACTGACTAATAAGAAAAAACATTGAATACATCATTTGCCTAAATAACTATATAAACACCATATTTTTGCGTTAGAGCAACGTATTATTCTGCATAGAAAAGAACTTCTTTCCATTAGAATATTTATTTCATTTTGAAGCTGTATTTGTGAATAATAGGTACATGAAACTTTTTCTTTTATTTGGGCATCAGGAAAGAAGTTCAAGTCATAAAGTGTCCGACAATTCAGGTCAGAAATAAATGCTCTTCAGAATTTCGAAGTATAAAACTTTCTGAATATTTGGCATCCACAAAGGATAAATCTTATCCTCGTTAAAAGTACAATTTGTTGAAGACGTGAAATAACTTCAATTTCAAGGATCGTGTGTGGGTGATAGTTAACTCGAGTTTACATAAAGATGTGAAAATATGAAATATTTTTCAATGGGAGCTTATCGCCAGTTTATTCATTCAACATCATAATTTGTTATCTGTTAGTTTAGGGACTAAGTACCTATACAATATTTTTTTTAATGAAACAGTTCGTTATTAGTACAAGGTAGTATCCAGTAGTGACCATCAGATTATCTGAAATTTTTTAAATGGATAAATATGCCTTGTTACCAGTAACTGTTTTTGACCAAATTATTTACCGTATATTCATTTTAATAAAAATAAAATTATTTTTGAGAATAACTAGAATTCTTTTGATAATGAAAACTGTCATTAGAAATTCATAATCCTGTGAGTATAATGTCAATTAATTGAAAAAACAAATCTATGTCAATCAAAAGTCACATTCAAAAGTCACAACAGTCTAACACAACAATTATACTTGGTCCATCTGGCAAGGATATAATGAAACCTGATATTGATACACACGAGAGGCCACCAGCAAGAATCCTTCTACAAGCGATACTCAAATCATTTCAAATCACTTTATTTCTTTAAGACAACATACAGTCGTATAAGAAAGAGTCATGATTACAACCGCATGGTAGTACGGTCGGGATTTAAATGAAGAAATATACAAAAGGAACATAACAGTACATTATAGATTATATAACACTATGAAGACATGTTCACATATACATATACATACAGGGCTTTTCATGATGAGCGTTGATTAGCCGTTTCTGACAAACTATTCAACGGATCAACCTGAAAATTTCACAGTGGGCATAAATCAATATGACCTACACGCCTGAAATATTTCAGACGAAGCGGCGTTGTCGCTTCTACCATAAAGTAGCGGCTTCTTTGATTTTTCAAATAGAACACCCCGTATATAATATCATATTATGATTCATTATCACTTTGTCAACAAATTCATATACTATTTCCCTATACCTATCTATTACCGTTTAGAAGATATAAATTAATTTC